TAAAAAATAATAAAGAAACAATTCCGGTGCCTACATTTTATCAATTGATACATGTAAATAATATTCCATGGAATATGGTAAGTGGATGATGGAGATGCTACTAATATGCCATCGCATCTTTCATATCACATATGATTATTCTTCTTTAAAAATAACACATCTTTTAATGATGATTTGTAATTTCTGTTTTCAAAATTAAGATCACTACAGTCGTGAATATATTTAAGAGAATACTATATACGGAACCGTAATTAGCTTGACGACAAAAGGAATCATGGATTTTGCGGTTTTGTATAATTTGTAAGCATTATATTTTTCTACAAAATAACAATCAAACATAATAATTTCTAATAATAAGTATTTATATTATATTATAAAACATTTGACAAAAACTCTTAAAAACCACTTTTTGTTAAAATATTGTTTATTAATGCATATTACTTAAAACTCAAGATTGCAAGTAGATTGTGCGTAAATATAACTTATTGAAGCTTCATATATGAATTCGTGTAACTAACTGCAGATAAACATAATCAAATACAAGATAAACATCTCATTTTTAAATATAAAAAATCTAAAATATAATTAAGATAATTATTGAGTTATAATAGAATACTTAATTATTATTTTTATAAAATATTATATTATTAAACCAAAAATAAATTGTTTCATTATTAAACTTAAATTAAATTATAATAAAAAAATAAATTAAAGAAATCACATAAAAAAATGAGAACTTTTAAATAGTTGATTTGATATTAACATTGATATATTTTTTTTTTCAAAATTTTATAGTATTTTTAAATTTAAATTTTATTAAAAAATAAAATCATTATTGTTTTCTTAAAAACACATAAAATTGTATTATAACATCAACAAAGACAAATAATAAAATAGAACATTAAAATCGAGATATGTCTGGTTGCATTGTACGAGTACTTTTCTAATCATTCTAGAAAAGGAAGACAAATAAAAAATATATCAAATTAGGTATATAACTTTGAGGTCTTAATTAAATCTATACTAAAGTTCTTCATGTTTGTCAATTTTCAAAGGTTTTGTTTCCTCCATCTAACTTTTTCTTTTGTTAAGTCTAGTATTTAGGGTATTTTAGTTATTTTCACTATTTTTTTAATTATATTATAATATTAAAAGACTTGTTATATTTTTAATTTTTTATTGTAAAACAAAAAGAGTAAAACAAAAAGGATAACCATCACCTTTTGTTTTGTTTTAAAATTTTAAATTAAACATATGACTTTTATTTTATTTTAATATAATAAAACGACTAAAATATCTCTAATTTAATTGGTCTTAACGAATAAAATTAACGATTCTTATAAAGAGTGACCAAAATAGTTGGAAATACATAAATATGAGGAACCAAATCTGAAATTTTAAAATTTAAGAACGATATACATTAAAAATTGCAAAAGTTAGAGACCAAAATTGAACTTTACTCTTAAATCTATAACATTCTATTATTATGAAGTCATTTTTGTAATACGTCAGAAGATTATTAATTCAATTAAAACCTTATTTAACGTTATATATCTAAATAACATGTAATAAGGAAATTAACAAAGATAGTGATTTTAATTGATCAAAGTTACATTTTAGTCATTTCTCGCCACTTATTCAAGAAAATCAACATCTCCTCAAATGCCTGAGCCGCAACTTGGGGAAGCGTTGTTTTTCGTACTCCAAGGGTGCCACGTGGCCTTGTAAACATGCACCAAGAACCTCTTCTTGTAACACCTTCGCAAGTCTTGAGGATGGCACCTCTGCAAGTCTTTGAGTTTTTACAACCCCTGAAAAATGATACGCCCCCACTGCAAGTTGACGAGTGTTTACTTACGAAAGTGATGGTTTTGTTGAAAATTTGAGAAAGAAATGGCTAAGAGTTAAATTTGGTAGGCAAAAATGATTATTTGTACCATTTTCTTTGTAAATATCATGAACCGTCCAGACGTTTTAAACTGCTTTTTATCCTCTACAATATCATTTTGGTACAATAATCACATGATATTGTAAGATTGTGTGGTACACATTGCCTTTGAATTTGAAGGGTACCCCACAAACCAAATGCACCTAGGCTACAAATAGGATCAAAAACCATACGATTCTGATTTTCTGAACCCATGTTTGTCTCATTAGCACAAACGTTTTTTTCTCCTTTTCCATGACATGACAAAACAAACATATTTTAAAATATAGGAGTAAACTTCAATTTTGGTCCCTGTGATTTTTCTATTTTCTTAGTTTTGATTCCTCAAGTTCAATTTAACACAAATTTGTCATTATAGTTTCTGATTTTGCTTGGTTTTGGTCCTTGTTGCTAACACCATTAGCTTGCTTTCGTTAAATGACATCTCATAAGGACAATATGGTCAATTTACCTTTAAGGTGTGATGTGCAAATGATGTGGCATTTCATTAATTTTTAGTTTTTTTATTTTATCATTCTATTGATTTGTAATTATTTAACCATCAACAACAACCATCACGTAAATAAAAAAACTGGAAATCAAAATACAAATTCATTAAAAAATCAAAATACAATCAAAATCCTAAAATCAAAATATATTCAAGACCCTAATATTCAAATCAAGATCAAGAACGAGATAGAGTGAGATCACCCATGAGAAAGAAATTGTAGACTTGCAGGTTGAAAGTTGTTGTGAGAGAGAGGTTAATGGAGGCGGTGATAAAGCGTACTGTGATAAAAGAGTGAGAGGAGGGAGGGTAGTTTAGAGAGAGAGTGGATGATATGTCTTTAAGGTTAAAAGGGGAAGAAATGATCTAAAATGACCATTTTATCTTCAGTGTGTCAGTCACATGGGAATTTAACGAAATCCAAACTAACGGTGTTAGCATTAGAAACCGAAACCAAGTAAAATCAAAACTACAGTGGCAGATTTGTAGTTTACTCGGAAATATTGAGTAAACTACAAATTTGATTCTCGAGATTTATTGAAATCTTTAAGGTGGTACATAATCATTAATAAGTCTACCTCTGCTCGAGATTTATTGAAATCTTTAAGGTGGTACATAATCATTAATAAGTCTACCTCTGCCATGATGCTCATGGGCAACTCTTGCATCTTGGTTTAAAAATAGTCCTTAACATTAACTCAGTTAAAAACTGCCCATTAAATTAGTGGTATTTGGTTATTTTTTTACTTATATTTCTAATTACATTTAAAAAGGTAAAAAGAAGACAATTTTTTTCATTTAACGGTGAATTTATAACCAAGTTAGTATCAAAGTCCATTTTCAAAGCAAAATGCAAACTACAAGGATGATATGTAGACTTATTAAAGGTTAAGTATCACTTTTAAAGATTTCATTAAACCTCAAGGACCAAAATTGTAGTTTACTCTAGCATATATACACCAATGCATATTTGAATCTCGCATTCGTTATCATGGCTGTATCAACACCCAAACCCCATTTTCAAATACAATTGGCTGAAAAACAAACATGGCATAAAATATTAGATGGTGGTCATGGCCGTGTTCGTGTTCGTGGCAGTAGTGCCTCCATCCAAAAGAGCAAATGTAGGTGCGTCATGAATTTTGACAGTAATGGAAGTCATAATCACAACAAAAGTAATAGCAACGTCGTAAGGGACGAAACATGGTGGAGTAACATGTTTGTGAATACGATGAGAGAAGCTCAACCTCATTTTGGGGTACATCGTGGAACCATTTTTGTAGTTGTGGTGTGTGCTGAACTCATCCATGGTCTTAATTTCGATGTCATCCTAAAGGTAATAATTCATTTCTTTACTATAATCAAACTAAGGGTATGATAGACGTTAATCAATTGTTATTTACATTACTAGATAAGGATAACAAACACCGAGAATGTTACATGGTAAGTGAAAGAAAAAACTTTTACCCATTTAGCATTTATTGAGTTAAGAATGTAAGATCATGTTTACCAACAACCCACGTTGATGGCCAAGAAAGTCACATGATAAGATAAGATAAGATAAGCAAGAGTGATGAATTTTGTAGATAAACATTACCCAATAAGTGTTTGATAAACGACCTAATATTATTACAGTTTTTGAGAAAGTTTACATTTGTGCACTTGTGATGTCTTTCTATTTATGTTTTCATAAAATAAATGTCTAGTTTCAAAAACATATATCTAAACTTGTAAACCTCTTCTGAATTAATAAATAAATATTTAAGAGTTGGGACAAAAGCAATAATATTTTTACATGATTAATATAAAGAAAGCATAAATGAATGAACTATTATTGAGGCTTCCAAAGGACCTTAGGGTTAGGGCTAGGGCTAGGGCTACTTGGGGGTGTTTTATTGATGGGGTTACCAAAAAGAGCCACAACCAAAAAACATTAAAACAAAATATAATTTGTCCCATACCTTCATGCATGGTTCTTGAGCTTTTAGTGAGGGCCCATCCTAAAAGGGTTTGGAGCAAAGTTTATGTTTAAATATAAATGACTAGATACACTAAAATGTTTTGATTTTAGCCCTATTCTGGAAAACATTAATACACTCCAAATTTAAATAAGCTCCTATCTCGTGTAACCTAATTTATTTCTTCTTAAAAAAGTTCAAGTCTGAATCCATCAAATCATATTTTTTTTTCAGGATCTGGTTAAAACCTGACCTAAAAAAGTTTGGTTTGAAAAAATCTTGATCATGTTATCTTTTATTACAATTTTGTATCGATTAGCGACCTATTACTTCTACTCAAATGTGTCATTTGCATCTTTCATTTGTATCATGTTACAACAAGTCATGTCTTCTATTTTAAGATTTTTAAATAAAATTGGTAATGTAAAGGGTTTAAATAACGTAAGGAAAACAAAATTAAGGACTTGAATGGGTTTTTAAAAACTATTCCTTTATTTTAAAGTTAAATGCGATACGAATACGACCACAAGTAGTGCAAAGCTCATTCGGTGTATCTCTATCATTACCCTAGGCCTAGGCGGCGGGGCGACCCGCGTGGGTCCCACACGAAGACCGCAAATAATCGTCTCCGCTTCTTCACACCAAAATCATCAGCCACCATCGCCACTCTCTCGCTGCTGGGATTCAGCTGTAGCATGGCCGTTTCATCTTCTTCGAGTTCTTGCATCTCTCTCCAAACCTTTCGCCGTCAAACCTACCCTTTGGACCTTGTTAGTAATGGTACACCCGGAAAAGTTTTCCGACGCTTTATGACTGGGCCGGTGAAGATGCCGGTCTTCAATTCGGTTGTCAATTTCAGGAAGAAGAAGGTTTCCTTGAGCATGTGTAATGTTTTGGGCGAATTTGAGAGTGAAGTCACGGGGGAAGCCAACATGAATGATATTAAGGACGAGCTTTTTGTGACTTTTTTTCGGGAAGCGTGGCCGTATTTCACGGCTCATCGAGGCAGCACCTTTGTAGTTCTTCTTTCTGCTGAAGTTCTCGATAGCTCCCTTTTGGATCCTATTTTAATGGCAAGTCTCTAGTTTACCTTTAGTCATCGGATTACATATGTGATTAAGCATTCTGCACCTCAAGTTTGCAAAAATTATATTGTGATATATATATATATATATATATATATATATATTTATCAGGGTGATGGTGTGTAGTAATTAATAACACCAAGAACTAAATCAATTGAGCTGTATGCAGGACATCTCGCTTCTTCATGGCCTCGGAATCAAATTTGTTCTTGTTCCAGGGACACATGTTCAGATTGATCAGCTTTTAGCTGAGAAGGGTGAGTGAAAATTATCTGTTGTTGTTATCTGCTGGTGTATAAATTCACTAAATTTATCTGTTGTTATCTTTAATGGTATAGTTAGGGACACCAATTAAAATAAGGAACCAAGTGATGAGGTGTTGATCCTTAAAACACATCTTATATGGGTTTCTAGTCCAACAACACTAGAATTTAACTAGAACTGCCTGTGATGATTATGGCCTACGCAACACAAAATCTTGAAGAGCCTTTTCAGCTTGTAAGTTACACCGTATTTAGTAAGGATTGAGCATCATATATGATCAGAGTCGCTCACTTTTTTTAGTTTTTAGCATCTCTTGTATAATTGTATTACTTATCAAATGTCATGATAAGTTCATGCTGTAAATATAATCAGTGCCACTGAAGAAGGCTTTCAGGTAATATAGTCAGTCCCTCTGTATTCGTTACATAACCAAAGGTAATCCATAAGGCTGAGTTGTATCATTAACAGCAAATCCTGGTGCATCTACTTTTATGTTTTGCTGACCTTTTTTTCTTCTATATTGTGAGCGATAGCATAACTCCACCATTTCACCTTATAGAGTCTGCTGAAGCTTTGAGACATTTTTGAACAAGAAACCGTGAGCATTTGAAAGCAGCCTCAATTCTAAGCCCAATGTATTTCCAAAATTAGAAAAATCGGACCAGCAATCCAATAATCTTGTTAATCCTTAACTCTGCACTAAACTGCAGGATATTTTTGAGTAAAAAATATTGGATCTTAATATAAGTAGTTATTTTGCTATGAGGTTCAGGCCTTCAAGTGATAATTATTTATGTTGAACTATTACTCATGAATGTACATTTTAGGACACGAACCCAAGTATGTCGGAAGATACAGAATCACCGACTCTGATTCTCTTAAGGCAGCAATGGATTCAGCTGGGAGAATCCGTCTGATGATCGAGGCAAAGCTGTCTCCAGGACCATCCTTATGCAGCATCCGTCGACATGGAGAGAACAGGCGCTGGCATGACAGTGTCAGTGTTGCAAGTGGTAACTTTCTTGCAGCCAAAGTAAGCTACTCACCGTTTGTTTCTCTGTTCAAACTTATATTTCCATGAGAGGGTAGCAAAACTGATGATTTTGCTATAAACTATTATATGAAGTAATCCACATCTTCTTTCCGTTTCTTACTATAATCTAAGCAATATTTGTTACTCCAATTATAATCTTTGCCAGAAAAGAGGAGTTGTTGAAGGCATTGATTATGGAGCGACAGGTGAAGTAAAGAAAGTGGATGTTCCTCGCATCCGTGAGAGGCTGGATAATGATTCCATTGTGATCTTAAGCAACCTTGGATATTCCAGCTCTGGAGGTGTACTAAATTGCAAGTATGCTATATAGTATATGGATTTACTAATAGGTACCTTTGTTACTGTTCGCATGATCTAATTGAATACAATATGAGAAGATTGTAGGCTCTCCCTCCTAAATTTTGTGACCCAAGATAATCAAAATTACTTCTCCCAGCTCCGTAGATTGTTGGTCCTTATTTTGGCTGGTTACTAATATATCATTACTGGCCAAGAACTTTGAATCAAATTGCATACCAAGAGCCTGTTTGCTCTGTTTCTTAAAGGGCATTTGTTTACTTTTTACTTCTCCCTGTGTGTACTTGTTTGAAAAAACTTCATAAAGATCCATCTTCATGCCTCCCATGGCCTTGTTCCATGCTTTGTGTAATGTGCTTAGGAAGCAAATGTAAGAGACATACCGTCTTGACCCATGTACACAGTCCACATTTAGCAACTATGGCATATTGGCATGCATTCTACTTACATTGGTATCCTATTAAAGGAAGTATGAATGTGCTCTTGATCTGCAAATAACCAATAAATTTTTTAATATGGAGCTTTGCATACCTATGCTGACTTCAAGGTGCAAATTATGTGAAACATGTGTGGTCCAGAATACCCGAAGATTTTTGACCTGCGTGAAATCTATTTAGTTGCAACTGTCTGTGTGATGTTTTCAGTTATTAATGTTCCTTGCTGTCAATAATGCAGCACATACGAAGTTGCTACAGCTTGCGCTTTGGCCCTTGGAGCAGAGAAGCTTATCTGCATAATAGATGGTCCCATTTTGGATGAATGGGGTCGTCTAATTAGATTCTTGACTCTTGAAGATGCAGACATGTTAATACGCAGACGAGCCAAACAAAGTGAAATTGCTGCTAATTATGTAAAAGCCATAGGCGATGAAGACTCTAGTTCTCTTGGTTATAACACAATAAATGGAGTTGTTCCTGCCCCTCAGAATGGAATGGCATCCAGTGACAGTTATACTGCAACGTTTCAGAATGGTGTTGGTTTTGATAACGGAAATGGTTTGTGGTCAAGTGAACAAGGTTTTGCCATTGGAGGGCAAGAACGGCTGAGCAGATCAAATGGGTACCTATCAGAGCTGGCTGCTGCGGCTTTTGTCTGCAGAGTAAGTCCTTAGTGTAACAAAGACTGCCACTTAAAACCAACTTAGCGAATCTTCTTGCATGAGTTTCTTTCAGTTTCTATTACAGACGTCCTATTGTGTCATTTTGCCTGAGTTCCTCTGTCTGACATGCTGCTACAAGGTGGTATTTGTGTAACCAATCAAGATAGCTTGGGTTATTACAACTTAAAGAATGGGATGAATGGAAACCTCTGTCAAGAAAAAGAATAAATTGCACAAAAGAGGGTACAAACGGTGCATAAAACCAAAAGCACAGATAGTGGCTGTTGTGAAGTGTCTCTTTGGAAGTCCTCTACTAATTATGTTCCTTTACTATATAATAGGGAGGCGTCCAGAGAGTTCATCTGCTAGATGGGAATATAGCGGGAGTACTATTGAAGGAACTGTTTCAAAGAGATGGAGTAGGGACTATGGTGGCTAGGTATGCATGTTGCAACTGTCTTTGTTAATTATTTATAACTCAAGATTTCTACACATCCATACTGTATCTGGCGTGGCTGAATGGGTTTAGCTCATATGCTGCTATGTTGGTTTTTTTACCCTTAAAAAACATCCTCCAATTGTGTGGAGGGGATTGATAAGTGAAAGTTATCTATATACCCTGGATATAAAACGGTGTGGTATTAACATCACCCAGATAAAAACAAGGAGATCCGACCAGACAAGTATCATGATACTGTTTAGTTCGTACTTTTCAGTGATCTTTATGAAGGTACAAGGATGGCAAAGGTGGATGACCTTGTTGCAATAAGACAACTTTTCAAACCTTTAGAAGATTCTGGCACTTTGGTCAAGAGGACTGATGAGGAGGTTTGTGTTGATGCATTCCTTTTAAATTATTGTCTGATAATGTTTCATTTATGCTTCAATAACTGTTGTTATGTTGTTAGCTGCTTAACGCGTTGGATTCTTTCATTGTTGTGGCGAGAGAGGGCCAAATTATCGCATGTGCAGCCCTGTTTCCATTCTATGAAGACAAGTGCGGGGAGGTTGCTGCCATTGCTGTTTCTCCCGACTGTCGAGGACAAGGACAGGGAGACAAATTACTTGGTATGACTACTTACCCATCTTTAGCACAAACTCGTATCTATATTGATAAAGATGAAGAAAAAAGAAAGAGTTGGTTAGGTGTTTGTTGATGATTGCAGATTATATTGAGAAGAAAGCATCTTCGATAGGACTGCAAAGGCTTTTCTTGCTGACAACACGTACAGCAGATTGGTTTGTCAGGCGGGGGTTCTCAGAGTGCTCGATTGAATCGATACCAGAGGAAAGGAGAAAAAGGATAAACCTATCACGTGGATCCAAGTACTATATGAAACAACTGCTACCCGACACTAGCGGAATTCGTTTTAATAGCATCTTTGCTTGACTATTTAGTACCACCCACCAAATGCCAATGGTGATGCTCATGGATTTTTTTTCATAAAATAACAGAATGTTCATAACTAGTTTGTAATTTTGCATCTCTTCCAGTCCTAAATCATATGAATAAAGCAACCTTAAATTAGTCTACAAGCCATTGAGTTTGAATGGGTAAAGAAATCAGTCATGATAAACTTAGTGGCCACACTTGTTATGTACGCATGGAATCGAATCCTAGACGGATGGGATATTCCACATCCCTCAGGATTTTCATCACTACGTCATAACCTTTGTACTCAAGTTTGAATGGACTTTGATTCCATGTTTCTTTTAGTTTCGATCCAGTTTATATAAATACATTTGGGGAGGGGGGGGGGKGATTATCTTCTTAGTGTCCCTAAAAAATTAAAGTATCCAAAAAATTGAAATATCCAACGGATTATTTAAACCGGATAAACTGAAGATTTTGAGTAAATCATTTACTCCAACGTCTCCGAAATGGAGAAAATAGGAGAGTGTGAAATTCATCGACTTTATAAAACTTCTCAAAAATATTACCACAAAAAGAATATTAATTTTAGGAGCCAAGTAGGTTAATAACTACCCTTCTTATTACATGGCAGTTACCTCGTCAACATTTAGATTCGGTTCTACCCAAACTTTTCTGATTCATCTCAACATCCTTTTACTATTCTTGGCGGGAATCAAAAATAATATTTGTTCTGCTCCTACAATATTCCACAACAAAGAACTTTGAAATTAAATGTTTAGAAAAGAGAATTGATGTTTTGATAATATGATTAGTATTGTAATCGCTAAAATTAAAGAAACTTTATATATGGAATTATTTTCGAATATTTTATTTTAATTTTTTGTTAAAATACTCTAATAATTTTTGATAATAAGTTAGATTCAACTCTAATGTAGAAGTTTGATGTGTAAAATTTATAATGACTATTAATTCCTTTGAAGAGTCACGGTTTCAACAAAATTTGAGTTTGTTTTATTTATGATTTAAATTAGTTTTTGACACACAATTATTATGTGCAAACTACATTAGGATATGGAAAATAAATTGAAACTTGATTAAGGGGCTGTTTATCTAAATGCTTACCCGGTAAGTGCTTACCGTTAGGAACACTATAATTTATTTTACTGGGTAAGATTGTAGTACATCAAAACGTATTCCATGCAACAATTTTCCTAGTAAGCGCTTACCCGGGTAATCGTCACATTCACTTACCGGGTAAGACTCTACATCCTTATCCTCATTCTTACCGGGTAAGATTCTTGGCCCTTGACATGTTCATCTGGTGAGAAAAATTACCCGGTAAGCTTTTAGTAAACGGCCCCTAAAACGAGGGGTGTTTTAGCAATACTTTAAGACTATAGGGCAAAAGTGAAAAGGGAAATAAGTTGATGGACTAACAATGAAATTACCAGTTTGTAGGCTTTGCAGCAGGAAAAGGCGGGGGCGGGTGAACCGGATTAAAATAGGGTAAATGTTTTGCTAAATTTGTTGCTACTTTCACTAATTCATCCGTCGACTCTTCTTCTAGGGTTTGAATCACTTCTAACAATCGGATGCCGCACCGCTCTCTCTCATTTCTAACGTAAACCGCCCCATTTTTGCTAGTGGTAGTTAATACACGCAACTGTTCTACATATTTTACATAATTTTTTTAGAATGCTGGTATTATTATGAATTAATATTGATGAAAATTTGTTTGACATGGTTCAATTTTGCTTATGATCTTTGTTCTTATGTATAATTCTGTCTTAATTGTTCGATACATATGCAGAATAAGAGAGTGAAACTTGTGCGCCATTGAGTGCGTGTGGTCTGAAGCTAAGCGACCCTTGATCCTTTCCCCCTCAATGATATTGACCTGATCGTTAGTTCATAGTTAGTTCGGAATTGGTCATGCCTTCTTGGTTTCTTCAGTCGTAGGTTATCTTTTTTTTGGCTTTCTGATATTTACATGCTTCTAGCGTTTCAGCTTTTTGTGATTTGTGTTTGCCATTCATGCGATGCGTACTATTGTTTGGGAGTAATTTTCGTGTTTTTAGCATCTAGAATGAATATGGGAAATGCTGCTTCCGGATGAGTTTTTAGTATCATCACTACCAGCGAGCCTACAAAATTTGGCATTTTAGCACCTTGTACTAAATTTCTAATCGCTAGACGCTTGAAGGGGAGAAATGGTCAGTGTATTTAGCGTGTGATTCATAGTAAAGGGAATATACTGCATATTAGAGTTGATAGACGAGATCATTGTCTTGGTATCGGACACATTAACAAAGGATTTGTGGATGTGTTATACTAATAATATTCTTGATATAGACTAAAGAGTTCGTTTCACTATTTTCTTTAAAATCATGGTGATTGAATATATGCTCTATGTAGTTGTTTGCTGCCAGGACTCTGGATAAGGCTTTGGAAAATTAAGTTTTTTCTTCGGAATTGTCGTAGGAAAGATTTTGGAACTCCATAAATGGGTGTGCCTAAGCAGAAGTGGACATTAGAAGAGGAAGCTGCCCTTAAAGCTGGAGTAGCCAAGTATGGACCAGGAAAATGGAGCACAATTCTCAAGGACTCGGAGTTTGTCTCTGTCTTGCATTTACGTTCCAATGTGGACCTTAAGGTTCAAATGAATTTTGCATATGTACATTCAGTATTTTATAAATTAGATTATACGACTAAATTGTATAAGCGGAGCAGGATAAGTGGAGAAATTTGAACTTGATGGCTAGTGGATATGGATCCCGTCAAAGGGCTAGACCTGGAAAGTCAAAAACTCAGTCAATTCATAAGCTTGAAAATATTTCTACTGCTTCCAAAGAAGACCATGACATGAAAGTTTGTATTCCAGATCCTTCTACAACATTAGCTGCACGATTGCAAATTGGTAGTTCTAACATGTCAATGCCAAGGTCATATCAACTCCTCATCATTGTATTGTGCCTTGTATTTGTTTCAACTATGTTGCATGCATTTTTTTAATTTGCTCAAGCAATTGTGACTAGTTATTTGATCATGAAAAGAACGAATTTGATGTCCTAAGAACATGTTAGCTGTAGGTCTATGTTTGCTATTGAGTACTCAATTATATTTAAAGTTACTTCTGTACCTTCAGGACAGCATAGTGTGGCTCCCTTATTGGTTTTTTAATGTAATTTTCTCAAATGTGGTGCTAATATTTTCTTGGATGCTCAAGTAATATTTATGATAGTGAATTTTTCTTCTCTGCACACGTTCTTTTTGGTGGCCTGAGGGTTATGACATTCACATCTTACATCAGATGTGCTGGTAGCATGTTGGCTAAGATTTTCAACAAAACATGTAGATAATCAATTGGAGAACTAATGTTTACTCGAGGGAATTGACCGAAGCCCATATTATAGACATTCCATTCCAGTCCTATATATTACCACTTACAGATAAAAAAACACCATAACCAAACTAAACGGTAGATACCCCTTGTTATTTTCGAAGAAACATACAAATACTTTATAGATGCTGGTATTAGCATTTACACTTGTATTAACCTGATATCGTACTTCTGCTTGTGCGTACATGCATACATACTATGTATAAATATATATATGCACACACACATACACATAATATGTATACATACTTTACGTATCTATATACATACTTACATATAGCATGTCGCATGCACACACATACATATCTGTAGATATAGATACATAGATATGCATATATGTGTGTGGACTGTTGTGTAAAGAACATGCCTCCCGGGAAGATGCTACCTTGTGTTTGGGTTTCCTGTTATAGCCTTTCTCTCATTGATGTCTTTACATTCAGTTTTTAGTTAAATGTGTATCATTATGCTTCCTTGAATCTTTATTCACAAGGTAAATCTCATTAATGTAGGTTGGATAGCCTTATATTGGATACCATAGCTAATCTGAAGGAGTCACATGGTTCTAGCCGTGCTGCAATTGCCGAATACATTGAGGTAGTTCCAAGTGGTTATGTTACGTTTGTGAGCTATATAGTATTCATACTAATTACTGCAATTTCAAGCAGCCATACACATCTTATGTCAGAAATCTGAAGACTTTATTAATTGGTTCATTTTTTATGTTCTTTTTGATATTCCCTGAGAAATTTTCACAATTTGAACATAATTTGCACTTATTTCAGGAGAAGCATTCAGCACCTCCCAACCTTGAAAAACTGTTGAAAGCGGAGTTGAAGGCTTTGATAGGTTGCGGAAAATTGATCAAGGTAATTGGCTGCTTTGTAGTTGGAAAAATACCAGCTTGATCACCTTGCTCTGTCTAGCATTAGCTCAAGCTTTAAAATGTCAAATTTGATCGGCTGGAGTAACTAATTTTCTATTGTGTTCTCTCTAGAATGTTATCTTTTGTTTTCTAAGGCAACTAGTCTAAGTCTGCATATTAGGAAAATGTAAACCTACCTGCATCAACTAGTTGCCTTTCACTCCCTAGGAAAGAAAGCACTTATTGGCTTATGTGTATGAGCCTCATTGGATAGATAGACAGCTACATAGTTGACTTCTGTATTGATGTTTAGTAGTGCAAACAATTCTAGTGGCATAAATGATGATGCTCCAGCTCGAATACTGCTCCTGCTTTAGCTTAGCTATTTATAGCTACAAGTGAGATTTCATTGTTAAATTGGTAATACCAATTCTCGATACAATTTGAGTGCCTCTAAAATTGGCTGTAATCTCATCCATTATTAGAACCTATGGCAAAGAATCTGGAAAAAGTAAACAGAACACACCCCTGTAGTCTCCCACCATTCCCTTTGGAGCACTCACTATGCACAGAATAGTCATGTTGTTAAGTTTGAAATAACACAATGGATTTTTGCAAATATTTTGTAAATAGCACTTCCACATCAATGGAAATTTAAAAAAAAAAAATCCTTAACTTGAAGTTCAAATTTACTCAACTGTGTAATATATTTTCTGTACATGACTACATAGATAGCATTTGAAACAGGAATGCATTTATTTCAAATAGCCTCATGCCAGTTACACTAGGGCTTTTTACTTCTAACAAAATTTAAGATTGCAGCAGCAAAGAATTTGCTAAAAACCAAATATTCTTTTTCGTTGGAAATTTACGAAATATGACAAAAAAAATCCATATCTTCTACAGAAAAGAAGTATAAACAAACCTCAGGAATTCAGTGTTGGATAAAGCAGTGACATTATTATAATGTTCAAAACAGGAAGGCTTGCAAAGGGTTTTCGGCAACCATTTATCCTGCTAGAAATTTTGGTTACATGGTTAATTTTTATGAGATCCCTTCTAAGGAAAAAAATCTGTATGATAATCGTTGTTTTTTCTTAAATTTATTTATTGATTGCATAGAAAGTATGTATTGAGAAAGATCCTAGGAATTAGAATTACATGGAGGAGACATGTACTTTAATCATCTCCCCCTTGGATCACACAGGTAAAGCATCGGTACAGGATTGCACCAAGTTCTTCATATTTGGGTTTAAAAGAGAATCCATCCCTGTTGCTCCTAGAAGTAAAACAGGAATATTGCTCAATGGAAGAGACGGGTGCTACCAAGATTCTTACAAAAGCAGATATCGATGCAGAGTTGGAGAAGATGAGGAGCATGACCCCACAGCAGGCTGCTGCTGTTGCTGTGAAGGCAGTTGCAGAGGCAGAAGCTGCTATTTCAGAAGCTGAAAGGGCAGAAAGGGAAGCACAGGCAGCTGAAGCTGATGCAGAGTTAGCCAGAGTATTTGCTGCTGCTGCAATGCAGTCATTAAAGCGAACTGCACTTTGCACATGGTAAATTTTCTCGGCATATCTTGAAGTAGTTGTCTTCTAGTTCTAATGCTTCCCTCTTCTGAAATATAGATGCACCCCTTTCAATCTGTTCAAGAATTAGAGACTTACCTCCACTAGTGCACTGTTGACTGTAGTACCACCACCTTAAACTCTTGATCGTTATATAGGCTTGAAAATATAAATGTGTCTAGACTGTGATCAATTTAGGGACACATCTCTCTTTTCAGGTCGAAGGGGAGCATTCCATTTTTATGCAGTATGTGTATACACTTCATGATTTATGTCTAGTGTCTGTTCATCCTAGTAAATTTCTAGAACTATGGTGTGGTACATTTCTGCTCTTTATCAACCATCAGCCATACGTTTTGGCTATCTCATTTATTTTCTACAAACTAGTAACTACCTTTATTCTTTGCAAATATATGACCACCACTGTTGTCTGAACGATAACCGTATAGTTCAGGAAAAGATAAAAAGTTTCATGTTTTCCAATCTTAATTGTTGAAAGTCTTGTGTTAGAATGAGTGGTTGGCTTTTTCCAACTTTTGCACTCGGGTTTTCACTGCAAACAAACTGTCGCTCTTGCGAAAATGTACAAAATAAAAGAAAACACCACAAGCGTGAACAACTTTGGACAAAAGGTATTAAGCATGATTGGCCTTTATTTTGCTATCACATCCTCCATCATTTGTCCAGATCTGCCCATTCTTTCAAACTATAATACGTCCTTTGGTTCATATTTTCACAAGAAGGTTAGCTTCATAAAGCAAAATAAAATATGTCAAAGTTATTTCCTTGTTTTAAAAAGTCTGGCATTAAACCTAAATTGTTTTCCATTTTTCAATATTTTGTTATGGACTTGTAGCATTCCCTCCTTGTTTAGTAGGTTGATTCTTCAAAAAGAAAGAGACAAAATCTGTAGACAGATAACAATAAGACAATGTTAGGGGCCGTTTACTAAACACTTACTTGGTAAGTACTTACTGGATAAATTTTCTTATTGGATGAACATGAGAAGGGCCAAGAATCTTATCGGGTAAGAGCAATGAAAAAGATAGAGTCTTACCCAGTAAGTAAGGATAACGACTCTTACCCAGTAACTTGTTGCATTCGATATGTTTTGATTTACTAAAATCTTATGTATCAAAATAAATTATAATATTGAATCCTATCGGTAAGCACTTACCAAATAAGCATTTAGGTAAACGCCCCCTTAGTATCCCAGAAGAAGTTCAAACTGACCACAGATGATAATGATAAGCTGCAGAAAATAGGATCTTTTTATGGTTATATGTTCTGTTTTCTAGTCAAAATATACGTCATAAAAGCAACTATTCATTCATATGCAGACTAGAATGAGATTGAGACAGATATGTGCAGTGCTCTAAAGAATACAGGTCTCCTTTGCTGTGGATATGGTAGGTTTCTGGCTTATGAAGGTTTCCAACTTCAGTGAGGTAATTATGATGGAGTATAAGTAGATAGCGAGTGTTGTTTGACATTGGAACGAGTTTGCCATTCTTGAGATGTGAAATTGCTTACCATTTGGTTTTTGGCTATATAACATTTTCAAGAGCAGTTAACCTCTTACTCTCCATGATAAATTTGCCCGAATAAAAACCGCGTATTCAACGTTTCTTGAATAATGAAGATTCTACTGCAGCCTCTTTTAGCTTCAGATTCAATCCTCAACCGCAATGCAAAATAAACACCTTCAGCAAGTATGATCAGAGTGCAAAAGGAACAGTGATGTTCAAAAAATACCAGCGGATCTTGAAAAGCGGTCGAAGCAAATCAAACCACACTATTTTTTCACGGTTTTAGGGTGGTTCTTTTGTTTGAAAATTAGTCAAACCGTGTGGTTTGGTCTGATTTGCGGTATGAAATGGCTGGCTCCTACTATATTCACCCATTTGGATTAATTTGGGGTCAAATCTTTGCATTGAATGTTGTAAGAATTGGTCAAGAGGGTTTGTTGGTCTGGTCTGATCTGGAGAGAAGGCCAAACCGGACGGTCTTTTATGGTCTGGTCTGCATGTTGAGATATAGGTTTGACGGTGTAAACCATCCAAACCGCTTATAAATGATATTATATGTATATTTTGTATATATTAAACCCATATTAAATAATTATTCATGGAGAGAAGGTATTCAAAGTTAAGCTTGCCTCACCTTATCACTGGTTTTATAAACTCATTTACATATACATATTTCATCATTTGCCTAGATATTAAAATAGTAACTAACTTAATAATTCAACAAAATGCTAACGCTGTCAAACATCTTTTTGTAATCTTCTTTAATTTATATGTACGTTAATTTGAAGTTTTGAACTACGGACAGCATTGTTGTTTTTTGTTAAACTATGATAAACTATAAACAGATTTTTGTCGGAAGCAACATCTGTATGTGGAAATTTTATGTAATCTTTTCATGTCAGATGCCGTCATAGTTCCACAAACCATCTAAATGGGTTGGACCAATCCAGTCATTTCACGTCAAACCACATGGTTTGAAAATTTGCAAACCACCCTTACGGTTTAGTAAACTATAATGGGCAGATAATATTTAATAAAATTGAGATTGAAACTTGTAATAAGTTTAAGCTATATAAATCAGTTAAGATCAAATTAAATTTTTGTGATATAATCTGATTGGTTTAGTCATTCATTTTAAATACTAAAGTTTGAAATTTTTCTAAGACCATACTTGAGATTTGGTCTGTTAAAAAGGGATTAGACCCATCAGAACATATCACATACACCCTCTAAAAGAAACAAGAATCACAAAGAGAGGGAGACAGAAGAACATGGGTAATTTTCACTTACTTCTCCGATATGTTACACAGCATAACTGGACCAGGGACGGACCCGGTTTATTAGATACGTTGGCATAGACCACTTCTACGTTCCTCCATCATAAGTTAAAAAAATTAGGCTTGTTAAAGATGCAGCCGTATATATTATGAAACTACAATAATAACACGAGTTTGTTTTTATAGAGTTTGTTTGGATGGTTTCTCCTATCCTAGGCGTTGGTTCGAATCCCGTTTCAATTATTTTTCTAATTTTTAGTTGTTAATATTCATGTTTACTATGTTTCTAGAAAAAAATTGCGATAAAAGACTTGAACTAGACCTCCACAGAAAAGTAAAAACTAACCAACAGACTAATGCTGGTTTTTTGAAAAATAGTAATATTTCATTTTTTATAGTCAAATGGTGCCACCAATCGAAAAAAAAACTATTGGGTCCGACTCTGAATTGGACAATACATTTTCCTTAACTTAAGCTGCAAATTTATGTCTAAACAATGTCACTTTGATCACCATAACTTCAAATCAAGTCACCAGAATGAATGAGTGGGCAAGTTGGCTTTTTATCAGCTATAGACTTTACAAACTACAAAACCAGACACAACCTTGATGTTTTGAGTAATAGCAAATGCAAGCAAGATTCCAACTTAAATCTTGAAAACATTGATAAATATAATCATACCTCATCATAGCCACATAATAATCGATCCCTAACATTCAATCTTTCTCTAGAACATATCAGATATACACACATCAACCAAGAAACAAAATGGAAGAGATAAATCAACCATGCAAATTGCACCAATTGGCAAATAAACACTAAAAAAATCCCACCTTTTTCAGGTAGTAAAGACTGCACAGACTTGAACCCATAAAGAGTACAAGAACTGGTGCCCCTTTTCCATTTCCTTCAATTTTTAGATTTTGAATGCTTAATGAGCCAGTCGATCACCGAGTCTATGTTCGTTGAGTTCTTGCACGAGATCATATAGCAGCACACTTCTCTGTCAGTGATAGATCTTAACCCCCTGCACAACTCGCCGTAATCACCAACAAATGAAACAAAATAGACCAAAGGGTCTTTGGCCCATCTATACCTGGGTTACTAGTAGAGCCCAGCCCAGCCTCCAAGGAGGTCAAGGGTGAGTATTTTCTGTGTATATAATATATATACTTCAAAAAAGAATGAAAGAAAACAGCCAGTTACAAGGGCTCTTGCATTTATTTGCAAAGAAAATTACTCAAACCCATGACCTTTAGGTCTAAAGGAGCAACCTTCAGCTTTCATGAAAGAAAATGGTCTTACATTTGATCGGTTAACGCGTCCTTGGAAAGGGCACCAGCCTTGTCAATTTTGTTGCCTAGAACCAGCAAAGGGATACCACTTAGGGCAGGTTTGCTCAGCAGATCATGGAGTTCACTCTTTGAGATGCTCAGATTATTATGATCTGCTGCATCAACAACATAACTGCACCCATAACAGAAAAGTCAACAATCTTGACAAAAAGTTCCTCAACTCTTCCATGGTAAAAGACTTGTTATTTTGCAAGTGAAAGCTTTAAGAAAGTAGCATACACAATGGCAGAAACTGCACGACAGTATCTCTCCCACATGCTACGAAAACGTGGCTGACCTCCAAGATCCCACAGTTTTATGGTCACGTTTCCTTTAGTTACCTTTCGCATGTTGAATCCCACCTGAAAGTTGAAAATATGTTACATTCAAGACGTTCTTGATACAATTTAATGTGTGTTAATGAGTTCACGGGGATCATCAATTTAAGCCAAAGCACCAAACTTCAGTTTGAGAAAACTCACCGTAGGGATCATGTCCTCACTATATCCACCAGTCTACGAGCATTGACAAAACCAAGAAAATATTACCCCATAATCCGATTTAGGACATAACTAAATGAAATATAAAACTGGTATACTTTATACTTACAGCGACAACATTAACAAGTGAAGTTTTGCCAGCATTCTGGAGCCCTATCAAAGAGAGCTCCATCTCTTGCTTGAAAAAGAGGCTGTAAAATGTGATATCAAGATTAGCTCATGAAAGTTTACGAGTTTTTTCAAGTGAGCAGGATATGAAAGAACTTGTGATTGCAATACATAAAGAACACAGCCACAGGAGCAATAGACATGCATAACTAAACTCTTATGACTTAGCATTCATGCCTCATCTTTCAGATTGATCTATCATTCCATACCGGATTTCTGCTTGTAAGCTTTTCCTTTTGATATAAAAACTACTGAAGGTAGGAACTAGGAACAGTTTTTAAACATAAGAATTTTAAGTTGGAATAGAGATGAAATCCTGACAAGTCACAGAACAAAAAACTGTGAATGATATATAAAAGGAATATAAGGTCATATAATTTAAACGACAAAGAAAGTGAAGCAGTGGATCCAAGATTTCATAGCAGGGTAGGTATTATAGTTACAAACTTATGGGGGGGGGGGGGATACACTATACTAACAATTTTTTACTTCCCATTATTTTACATTAAGAAACTACAAAAGAAAAAGGTTGAAGGTGTCTTCGACACAGTGAAAGAAACTCACAAACATGCCTCCAAATATACTCAAATTCACAACCTAAAGGTTGTGAAGGAAAGATTGGTACCATTGGACCAAAGGCCACTTCAAAGAAACAGAAAGGTATTAGATATAATAAGTTGAATTTGACATTGAACTAATCCAACAACATGATCATTCGATCTCATGTAAGGCAGGGTCCGATCATTAATTCTTTCTTCTTAATCATCTGCCTTGAGATAATGACTTAATCCCATCTCCCTTGATAACAAATGTATCTTTAAACCCTTCATCACTTACCTTATTCCAATGCCTTTATCCCTAATGTCTGCTGCTTAACAATTAACATTACCACAAGCTCTGTGTCAATTGGGTTTTCCCTTGATTTAATTACTGTAAACAAATACTTGGTATGTTGATAAGTTTGTGATATCTAGCTCCCTAAACTCCATGATAACTCCAATATTTTCCAGTTCAAATGGTTATCACTCTGCAACTTAAGAAATTCACATCATTGCCTAACATATGCTAATGATTCATTTTGAATACACATGTTGTAGCATCATTTAGATTGAAAAAGTTGTGGCGGTAAGCCGATAACACCATCACTTCGTCCATGCGGTGTTGCTCAATGATTGTCAGGCTAATCTTATCTCAATATTCATCGATCAGAACCCAAATTTTTAAATCACCCTTCAAAGCTGAAGATAATCGAACACCTAAATCTACATTCCCAAAAGAAACTATACCAAAACATCTGATGCGGCAGATCCTTGATAATCGAAAAGAAAATATAAACTGTGAAATTCACAAAGAAAAACGAAACCCAACAGAAAGAAAACAAAGAATCCATGAGTTCGAATCTAGGGTATAAATAAAAAGAGAGGGGATCGATTACCTTCGAAGCCAATTGAGAACAACTTCCCATAAACCCATTACGGTTAAGTGTAGAAGAAGAAAATTGAAGAGAGAAAGAGATTTATTGAAGCAAATCGACGACTCTCCCTCTCTCTCTGAGGATGGAAATTGATTTGGGGAAACTTTGTTTGTGTTTTAATTCCTTCCCTGTGTTGTTGTCGATTGATTTTGTGAAGCGAAATCAGTGGGGATTGAATGATTGTCTTAAAAACACAAAATTGGGAAATGCAGCTCAGCTTCCATGTGTAAATCCTACGTGGGAAAATTAAATCTCACTCTCCGGCATTGTGCGTGACCATCACATTGGAGTGGGGTATAGTCGGCGATGGCGGATTGCCGGTGGTGTGTGGTGCTGCTTTTTCTTCACGATTTTGTCCGACGCTGGATATCTCTCTATTTATTATTTTCTCAAAAGAAAAAAATATTATTATTATTAATCACTAGTGTTTGACACCATGCGTTGCATGGTGACAATAATCTTTTTTAAAATTACTGAAGTTAGTTAAATGATGGTGACAATAATCTTTTTTAAAATTACTGAAGTTAGCTAAATGAATCGATGATTATATTTATATATCAAATTAATAAGAATCAATATTACCTTTGATATATGAATCCACCTTATCATTATTGGTTGTTCTTTTAATATATATATATAGAGAGAAACGATCAAATGAAAACCACTTCAATTTGTAAAAACCGTAAAAACTACTCTCATTCATCGATTTCATTGTTTAATCTTATGAAATTTTTTCATGAAATTTTTTCATATAATACTTTTTTTTATGAAGTTGTTTCATATATGGTTATAAAATTGTTTTATATATTACTTAATGAAATTTTAATGAAACTGTTTCATGTATTTCTCTAAAATTAAAATAATGAAGATGATAATATCCGATTAACAACCTCCACAATAAAAATGATTAATCAACCTCTCATAATTACAAAAAAATGAACAAAATGAAACATTATGATTGGTGGAATAAGGTTTTTACGGTTTTTACAAATTGAGTGGTTTTATTTGATCGCTCCCCATATATATATATATATATATATATATATAT